AGGGCTGAGTTTAGACTGCAGTGATTTCAAGGGCCAATTCAGGCCCGATGACATGGGTCATGGAGAACTAGCTTCCATTGTAATGGGTTTGGGATTTGAAGCACACAGAAAGTGGCTCCAGCGCCTGGCCTCTTAGGATCTTGCGCTTGAGTGCCTGGTATGTCATGGATGATGACTGCTTGGTTAACGTTTTGGGAATTCCTCATTACCATGAGCAATGGACACCTGTTTCCATGCCACTTCAAAGTGAGCGCAGTTATTCCTTGAAAGGGTTGATTTTGAAGTTAAGAGAAATGTAAGACACCTGTGTGTGAATGCCCCCCTGATTTTCAAAGAAATGAATGGTTACATTAAAATCAAGCTTGTATTTGTGGAAGATCACATGTTGACGAATTCCCTCTTCTGAAAACCCTTTATTATGTGACTCATTTGTGGACCCCAGTGGCAGAGAGCCTCCCTTCACTGGAATCCTCACCGAAGCAGGGTTTTGGTGTTATTTTGGAATGCCACCCTCGGAAGGGCAAGCATTGTAAGATACAGTTGCAGAGATTTGTTCTAGAAATTGGCGTTTAGGCAGTCACCAGGCTAGCCTCCATGTCTTCCCTGCATCTATAATTATAGTAACAGAAGAGAATGATGAGCCTGGGGCACTGCACAATCCTAAATCAAAGATTAAATTATGTGAACTCTGCCCAGGCTGGAAAGTGGTCAGATGTATTTTAAAAAGCTTTCTAATAGGCTTTATGATAACCAGAGTTGAAGCAAAGTTGCAACCTAACCTTCTGTTAACCCGTTAATTACATTCATGGGGATACCTTGTGCCTCATCACCCAGGTGACTGGGGCTTTGCATGAAGCCCTGTTGTATGTCCACCCTCCAGGCCAGCACTGAAACAAATGGCAAATCAATTTGCAACGGACAGGGAGACACTGACATAATGTGTTCTCTGAGGATGTCTGTCTGGTGGGGCGTGGGAGCCAGACAGATTCTTTAAGCTTCACAAGCTGGGGGAGGGGATTTTTCCGTGAGGTTGGGAGAGCTGGTAAGCAGTTCATCTGGAAAGGCTTCCTGGGAGAGTTGGGATGTTAGCCTTTTAAGTAGGAACAGAGTGATGGTCAGCTGGAACTCTGGGGGTGGTGGTCAGTACAGGTGTAGAGGACATCACAGAATGCAGCCCCATGGGTCAGGAGTGCTCTAGGTGGGGGTGGGTAGGAAAGGGAGCCTTTGGTTGGCTAGTGGCAGGGAGGGGCAGGTGGAAGGGACTGGGAGCTGTAGGGTATCCACCAGGGTTGTGGGAGAAGTTCTGGAATTGGCCTGAGGGTTACTGGAGGTGGGGCTACCAAGGCAGAGTTGGGGAAGAGCTTGGGGCAGTCAGATGATGCACTGCACTGTGGCAGCTGAAGGCATTCTCACCATACTGTGACCTCAAGGAAACAAGCCTCTTCACCTAGGGACATCATCCCATTAACTTTCAGGCCCCCAGGTTTCTCCTTAATAGGGTGGGGAGATGGTATCCTCTGCCTGCAAACACCAGCATCCCCTATGGGTGTAGGTTCTAATGCTGGATATTCCACTTCCCATCCAGCTCCCTGCCGTGACCTGGGAAAGCAGTGGAGGGTGGCCCAATGCCTTGGGTCCCTGCACACATTGGGAAACCAGGAAGAGCTGGATTAGTTTAGCTTTGGCCTTTGCAGCCATTTAGGGGAGTGAACCAGTGGTTGGAAGATCTTTCCTTCTCTTTAAATCTGCTTTTCCAGTAAATCTTTACAAAAGCAAATCAAAGAATCCCAGCAATAAAGGCCCATATTGTGGTGCAGTAAGTCAAGCTCCCAGCTGCCATTCTGTCATATAGGAGGGCTGGTGCAGTCCTGGCTGCTTTGCTGCCCACCCAGCTCCCTGTTAATACACTTGGGAAGGTAGCAGAAAATGACCCATGTGCTTGGGCCACTGCTATCCCCTTTGGAGTTCCAGTTGGGGTTCCTGGCTCCTAGCCTAGGCTGGACTAGTCCTGCCCATTGCAGCCATTTGTGGGGGAACCAGTACATGGAAGATCTTGCTTGGATATTATTGCTCCCTGTCTGCCTGTCACTCTGCCTTTTTTCTTTTTATATATATACTTAAGAGCATTTAAAATATTTTTTTGAATTTTATGGTACAATTTCATAGGGCCTGGGATTTCCCTACCCCCTCCCCAAATTCCCACCTTCCCGACTGATTTTCCCCGTATTGTAACAATAAGATAGCCCTTCTTAAGCAGTCATAAGTCTATGAGTCTGTTATTTAAGTGTGCCCAGAGATTGCTGGTACAGACAATGCCAAACAGTTCAGCAACCTATTGCCAAGATATATCCAACAGTTTCATTGGGACTCCATCTTTGATTTAGAAGTAGAGATGCCTACTGCATTGTGTCTTCACATCTGTATATGATAGTCTGTTTTGCCGTCACTATACATTCCCCTAAATGAGAAGCCATGAAACAAAGTCAACAATAGGAATGAAGTTAAAACAAAAAATTTACAGCACCATGGAGTTAAAGTGAAACAACATGCTACTGAATAACTAATGTCGCTTTGTGTTTTAAATAGATAAATCTTTTTTTTTTTTAAGATTTTATTTTTATTTTTATTGGAAAGGCGGATATACAGAGAGGAGAGACAGAGAGGAAGATCTTCTGTCCGATGATTCACTCCCCAAGTGAGTGCAACAGCCAATGCTATGCTGATCTGAAGCCAGGAGCCTCTTCCTGGTCTCCCACGTGGGTGCAGGGTCCCAAAGCTTTGAGCCGTCCTCGACTGCTTTCCCAGGCCACAGGCAGGGAGCTGGATGGGAAGAGAGGCTGCCGGGATTAGATCCGGCGCCCATATGGGATCCCGGGCGTTCAAGGTGAGGACCTTAACCACTGTGCCATTGCGCCGGGCCCTAAATAGATAAATCTTAAAGAAAAATGATAAGCCTTTTACTAAAACAAAAACAAAAAAGGAAATCGGATGCTATTACTTGTGTGTTCTTTCCAGGGATGGTTCTTTGATGTAGTGGAGTTGGCTGAGGCTTGCTATGAATCAGTGTTCTTTTTGGGTGTTCTGTCTTTGCTCGTAGTGGCCAGTGTCCCCTATTCCAAAGTGCAGTTCACTGCCTGCATTTTCCTGGTGATCCCACAGATCGTGTCTGCTCTGAGCAGGGCACTAGGCACCTGTGGCACCCTGGAAGCTGTCCTGTGGCTTGAGGCAGTTTTCCACCTTACATGTTTCAAGGACCCACTTTATTAACTCCCTGTCCCCCAGGAGCCTCCTATTTTGAAATCTGTTTCCCTGATAGACAGCATTTATTAAGGAGTAATTAATCTGCTTTCCCTAGGTGATAGCCAGTGTGCTTGCTCACACTTGATGTAGTCCAGCTGTAAAGCAGAAGTCTGGCACTGGGAGTAGCTGATGACTAAAGCCTATGTTTGCCTGTAGGCACTCTGCCCTGCGCCTGCAGTTCAGGGCAAGTGGTGTCACTGCTAGGTGTTTCTGAAGAATCTCAGATGGCCAAGTTCCCAGTCCAGGCCTTCAGGACCTTGGGTAACCCACACAGTGTTTGCCTGGTAATAGTTCCATTGGTGACCTTGATTGGCTTTGCTTGAAAGTTCGTGGACTAGTGAGAGGAGAACGCCCGGAGTTGTGCAACAACTTTTTTGCTCCAGCTCCAACCACACCTGCCGTTTCCTGGTCAGGTATTACTGCGTGTGCGCGCACGCGTGCGTGGATGTGTGTTTTAAAGATTTCCAGAGAATGGAATTTGGCAACCTTTCACAGTTTGAGTTACATTCCTTCACACTCTTTTCTATGCATATCTTCACCCAAATACAGATTTCTTTCCTTTGATGCAAATGGAATCAGATAGAACGATGTTATTCAACAACGTGATTTTAAAGGAGTGATTTACTTCATTGTTTCTTCATCCTTAATTTTATGGCCCTATCAGCACTGATTTGGTTATTTTCTAGCTAGTCGAAGCTGTAGTCATGGGGCGAAGGGAGCCTCATTCCATAACAGAATACTTTTGTTCTGCAGTGTCAGGAGAGCAGGGGTTGTAACAAAAGCACCACTCACGTTTTACTGTATTTAATGAGATAACCTACTACTTACTGTGAATATTTTCTTTTAAAAGCACATCCATTGTCCACATTAAGCACAGTCACATTTTATTGATAGCTTATAATTTTGAAATTATGTTGAATGAAGATAACCTTAATTACTAGGGGAAGGGAGTCATGTCTGATTCATGCCAGTGTTCTTGTTTGGTTACAGCTGAGAGCAAAAGTAGGTGCTTTCCTATGCTTTCTTTTTTTTTTTTTAAGATTTATTTATTTTTTTATTGCAAAGTCAGATATACAGAGAGGAAGAGAAACAGAGAGGAAGATCTTCCGTCTGATGATTCATTCCACAAATGGCCGCCAATGACTAGAGCTGTGCTGATTCGAAGCCAGGAGCCTCTTCTGAGTCTCCCATGCTGGCCCCAAGGCTTTGGGCTGTCCTTGACTGCTTTCCCAGGCCACAAGCAGGGAACTGGGTGGAAAGAGGAGCCACTGGGACACAAACTGGCGCCCATGTGGGATCCTGGTGCATGCAAAGCGAGAAACTTTAGCTACTAGGCTACCACACAGGGCCCAAAGACCTGTTTTTTAAAATAGCTGCCCCTTTGGCATGATGGCTGCTTGCTTTTCTCATCGTCTGTGTTGTGCAACTGCTGGTCTGCCCTGCAGTTCCCCTGCCTGAGCCCCAGGTCTCTTAGACTCCACTTTCAGTACTTTCCAAAAACAAGGCTTTTCCTCTGTTCCTTCAACAAATATTTGAGTGCTTGCTACAAGCACTCATTGTTCTGTTATCTCAAATGCCACAGAATTAAAAGCTGAAATCACACATTCTAAAGTAGTCACCTGATATGTATTTGGAATCTTTAATAAATACAATGGTTAATTAAAAACCCTGATATTAGGGAACTCCTTGATCCCTAAGGTGAGTCCCTTTCCCCTCTTACTATTATTTATATGTCATCCTTGCGCAGGGGCCACGCCAATCTTCTCTGTATTGTTCCAATTTTAGTGTATGTGCTGCCGAAGCGAGCACCCCTCTCACTATTATTTAATACCCTTTTTTCTGTTTTGTCCTCAGCAGCCAGACCAATGCCCTGGCAATCCTGGGACGGGAGCTTTTTAGGAGTAACACATGGGAAGGCCATGAGAAGAGAGAGGGCTTTTTTTTTTTTAGTTCTTCCTGACAATCGGTGGTAAGGATTTCAAGCCCTAGGTTGTGGAATGCTGAGTTTGTCGTCTGTCTGTGGGAATTGGGGATTTCATGTTTACCTCTGACTTTCTAGGAAGTCAGAACAAAAGAGAGCTAGAGAAGCCTGGCTTCTGAGCAGATCAACGGGCTTTGTCCTGAGGTCCCCACCTCTCCTGGGCCTCCCTGTCTCCTTGCAGTGTGACTCCTATCCTGGAGCATGCGATGGAGGCTGGGGGCACGTGGCCCCTGCTCTTCCATGTTGGGCCTGTTTTCCAGCAACTGAGGGGTAGGCTCTTCTAGACTTAGGGTTTACCCATAAGGCAGTCAGCTGTGCTTCTCTCTTCTGGCATGAATGACACCTCCTCCTGTCCACCAAGTCTGCAGGCCCCTGGGGAAACTTGCCATGGCCCAGAGCTGCTCCCAGGAGTCTTTGCAAGTGGAACTTCTGGAGGGTCTTGCTGGTTTACTGTGTCTGTTTTGTTTGGCAGCAATTGTGCATTGGTCTGAGGATGGCTGGGCTGTTGGGAGTTGGGCCACACACTTGGATGCATTTGTTATGATATTGAGGAGTGATTGTGCAGATAGATTTGCTCTGGGCTCACCCGAAAATCCAGGAGACCCCCGCATGCCACTGTTTAAAGATGATTTGCTGGACAGATTCTCGATGTCTTCTGATGGCTCAGAACAAGAGAGTTTGCTGAGGAGCAGGTTTGCAATCTGTTTTCTGCTATTTCACTACCAAAGGAAAAAAGAAGGGCAGCTGGCGTGTTGCACAGCACCCTGCCCGGCTGGTTCTCCCTCTTGGCCTGGGATCTGTGATGGCTTGCAGCCGGGAGTCCTCTGAACTAGGGACCCTGCAGAGGGGAGAAAGCAGGTCTGGAAGTCATCTACCTCTGGATGTGAGTTTATTCCAGGAGGATCTTAACAGATCTAAGGCCCAATCCCATTATTTTAAAGGTGAATTATTGTGCTAGGAGGATGAGACTGGTGGCCTGAACAGCGAAAAATTAGAGAGAGAAAGAAGGCAGGGGAGTTGGAAATTGCCCCTGATGAGAAAGAGACTCCAGGGCACGTGGTCGTCTTTGTTTTAATTAAAACATTACGCAATACAAACATTGGCCTTCCCCCTCCTGCCCCCACCAAGCCTGCGGAGTTGTTATTTCCCATATTTGGAATTTGGGGAGAGCCAGGCCTCCTTTGAGGATAAGGCCAGATCCAATCTCTGCCTTAGTGGAAAGTAAGTAAATCTGAGCGCCTTGAGGGCTGCGGTGTGGTATTCATAGTGAATATGTGCTTACTGCAGGAGGATGTGCCTCCTTGTCATCATTTATTCAGCAGCCCCTGGTGTCCCGGAGCTGGTGCTGCGCCCATCAGTAATCTGATTCCTGTTTTCTTCTGCATATTTTGCCTTTTGCAAATGTATAGGCCTTCAGCTCTCATCAAGGCGGCTTTTACTCTGTGATCTGTACCAGGGATGACTGAAGTCATGTGGAGGATTTTAAGTAACTAATCTCTTAAGACATTCAGAGCATAATCTCCCCCAGCCCCATGACCGAGCCTGCCTGCGTCGGAGAGATTGGAGAGCTTCTGCAAAGGAGGCTGCACGGGCACCTTGGCACCCTTTGGAGAGACCTGGTGTGCTCCTTGCCTGCCGCAGATGCTTGCAGCGTGGGGACAGGGCCTGCTGTTCGCTTGCCATGTCAAGAGAGTTCAAGATGCTTCGTGAATGTGAGCACTGTGTTACTAAGTCTCCGTGCTGGTGTACAGAACAATGAAAGGCCAGACTCACAGGAAGAGGCTGTCCGCGCTCATTCATGGGCCCGGCTGTGTGTGCCCCGGGCTGGCTGACAGGCAGATGCTGCGGAACACAAGGGCATTTCAACACATCTGTAGCAAAGGGAATGATAGGACAGTAGCTTATTTTGGTGCAAAAATAAATAAGAGCAACAACAACAAAACACTGAAATCCACGCATTCAAGGGGTCTTTACAAAGTTTGTGAAAATATTGAAAAGTATTATGACAAAAATTATACATGGATTTCAGGATTTTTTTGGGGGGGGCACCCAAATAAGCCTATCCTATAATTCCATTTTTCTTTAAACTTTTTGAAGCACTCTCATAGATAAGAGATTTGCTGCTCCCTGGTGTTTGATAATTTTTATTTAATCAGGTTCATCCAAAGGTCAAGGGTTTCCTAGGCTTTGCTAAGACTTTGAATGCTACTCCATCCATGTGTGGCCTGTCTGGTTGCTCTTGAAATTGTCATTTGTTTTCTGTTTCTACCTGCTGCCTCCTCCAGGTATTAGGCTTCTGCTCCCAAAGAGTTCTGTGAAAGAATGTGGTGACTATTACTCTAAGTGCAGCCCTCGGTACTTTTCTCCTAATAGAATGATAACATTTCCAACAATACAGACTAACGAGGAGGATTAGTTTAAATTAGTAAAATGCCCGGAATTACCAAATATTTTTCAAGGATGTGGCTGTTATTACTCCAAAGTAAATACTGTAACTCAAACTAGGCTAATAGAGTGCCTGATAAAGATCCTTGGGGGATCCTGCTCTAGGAGAGAAATAAGAATGATTTGCAATTAGCGGCCCAATTGTTTATGTAAATGCTGTTTCTGAAATACTAGATTGTGCTTGAAAGGCATTTGTTCTTTTAAGTATTCTAAATAGTCCCCTGGAACCCCCCAGTGTGCGGTAGTTTATGTGCTGAATAAAGACCTGACTGCACCTTATCAGCCACATCAGCAGCATCTTGGATCCTTACTTTCTTAGACTGTCAGGTCTGTCTGCCAAATACTCCCACTGCACCTGCCTTGGAATGTTGCATCCAATAGGTTCAGCAAGCATCTGATGTGTTTTGTGTGCTTGGCCATGAATGATAAGGTGGAGACACAGCCATCTTTGCCAGTCTGTTAACCACGTGCTTGTGTACTAGGATGTCTACAAAACTATGGTCTGTAGGCTAACAAAGAAATAGTGGTGTAAACGCATAATTGTTGACAGTGTATTTGGTTGATTACAGCTGGGAAGCTGGGCACGCATGCCTTTTGTTCGGAGTGACTTATTATACCAGGCTGTACACTCCACCTGGACAGGGGTTGTGTCTGCGTTGTTTGTCTAGCCCCTCCTTGGCTGTTGCCTGGCATAGAGTAAATATTATGGTGAACTCTAGGACAGGGCCATTTCTTTTCTTTTCTTTTTTTTTTCTTAATAGGCCAAAAAAAAAAAAAAAAAAAAAACCAAGAAAGTCAAGTAAGTATCAGCAGTGGCCTGTGGCTCAACCTGCGAGTCATTTGTATGTATGTTGAATGTTGAATGTGTGTCTTGATTGAAGAGGTCTTGTAGTAGACTGCATTTAACACGCTTTCCTCTAGCTGAGGAAATGCCAGTTATGGTATGTAAAAACTCAAAATGCCTGGGACTTGTGGGCCTGGGACAGAGTCCTGGGTAGTTGTGGCACTGGGGATCCTGAGTCCCTCCGATTGTCTATGTAGGTCTTGGTATATTTCCAGCCTACAGGAGTCCTTTGGTCTGGAGTGCTGTCAGGAGCCCAGGGAGGCTGGGGGAATAGGCTGGAAAGCTGAGATTGAAGCAGAGCCAGGGCCTGCTGGCTTGCTGGGGAAGGAGGAAGACAGAGCTGTTGGCATCGCTGTCTCTTTAAGCCTGAGTGAGGGTGAATGTATACTTCCAGGTCAGAGTCCCTACACTCCTCAGGTTGGTATGTGCCCACGCCATGTTTAGTTCTTGGACAGGTGCAGGGATAGCCCTTGTCACGAGGCTCCTCGTGAGCATGGACCTGCTGCTTGGTGGGCTGTGGCTACACCGTGGAGCAGGTTCTGCTCTCCCCTCCCCCCTCAGTGGAGGCAAGGGTTTAGCTGAGGAGAGGGTCCAGGTGTGTCCTCTGAGAGAAGCCCAGCACCCTGGCCCAGTGCCTGCTTCCTAACTGGATCTGGGAGCTGGGCCCAGGCGAGGGCTTGGCCAGAGCTTCCTAACCCTTCTCTGCTGAGAACTGGTTTTGCATCTGTTTGGACTTCATGGCTCTCTTTCCGGTTTCTATGTACAAATGTGCAATTGTACTCATCCTATTGTGAGTCACGCTATTTCCTCTCATCCATGGGATAATTTCTAGTTGAGCTCAATTCCACAGTTATTTGGTGGGCGTCCTTGGGTGCCAACACAGGATGGGGCCTGTTTGTGAAGGGAAAGGATGGGGCTCTGGCCCTGGTTGGTGGCAGACCCCGCTGGTGGCCTACACAGTGCCCACTCTTTCCTCTTCCTGCTGGCAGGGCTCACTTTCATTTGGATGCCACATTTCCTGTCAATGTGGACTCAGGGGAAAACGATCCTGCGTCCAGCCCTGGGGCCAGTGCTGATTGAGCTGTCAGTCTGGGAGGCCTGTGTAGATGTGGGTGGGTAGCGCATTTTTTGTTAATGTGATATTGGAAGTCAGTTGGGAATTCTGGGAGAGATGTCTTCTTTCCTAACACACACACACACACACAGGCCAACATTGTTGTGTGGTAGGTTATGCTTTTGCCTGCAATGTTGGCATCTCATATGACTGCTGATTTGAGACTCAACTGTCCTGCTTTGGGTCCAACTGTTCTCCCAATATACCTGGTAAAGCAGTAGAGGATGTCCAAGTGCTTGGCTTCCTCGTACCATGTGGGAGATCGAGATGGAGTTCCTGGCTCCTAACTTCAGTGTGGACCAGCACTGGCCTTTTTGGCCATTTGGAGAGTGAACCCAAAGATGGAAGGTTGAGCTCTCTCCTCCATCACTCTGTTTTGCAAATCAGTCAGTATTAAGCATGTACATAGGCACATGCTCACACAG